TTGTTCTATGGTTTTTTGTTTTGAATAATTCGGGTCAGTCTTTTGCATCAGAGACAGTGCTAATCGTACAAATAAACACGTACAAACCAAGTTCGAATAAAAACATCGTATCTTCTACTGTACAGCAGAGCAAGTCAAGCTCTTCGTGTATCTCCGGTGTTTCCATGAGACATGGTTATTCTTTCTTGTGCTGTTCATGATGGGTTGAATCCGTGATTGACTGTTTTCTTACCTCGACAATATGATCAGTCATAGGTTCTATGAAGTCCTTTATCTATCGCCTTCTTTGTTTTTGATTGCTTGAAGGTTCTCTCGGGTGATATTTCCAGTCGCTATGTCTGCGTGGTTGAGTCGTGCAAACTCCATTCCTAACCAGGTTACCTGAAGTTTCCTTTTATTGGCCTCATGTTTTACTACACTAAGTATACAAATACAACCTTCAAGCATGGATGCCATCTGGTAGCAAAATAGTTTGCACTGGATGATAAAGGAAGTTAAAAAGGTGTTTTGGCGATGAACAACTCAGTTGGCGCAAACAAGTTGATAACATCCACCGAAGAAAGCAACAAAATTAATCACATCTCAAATAATGCTATCCTCCATTCAATTCACCAGAAATTTCTTGTGTAACCAGCAAACAGTTTGTGATTAGTTACACAAAACACCTGTCACTAGACGATATTGTTCACTTTAACTCAAACTATCCGTAATAAAAGCAGTTCAGAATGTTTTTGCTGGTGTTCACTTGCTCACTGAACGTGACTCCTAGACTGCAACGTTCCATTCATTGTCAGCCAGAGTGACATTCTTGATGCACTAATTTCGTAAAATCTTGCGTATATTTACCTGCATTTATCTAGGTATGAAGGTAGCCGGAAATTTCTGAATTGTCGCATAATCACTAAACTGTATATGCTAGCTCGATTGACGGTGTGAACCAGTCAGAATGTCACTACTAAGATTAGTGAGCAACAGAACGTCAGTCGACACTAGACAGAAGCTACAATTCATATAACCTATCAGCCCTGACTCAGTCATCCATAACACTTATATGGTGCCGTGGTCAAGTAGTGTAGGTCATCATCTCATTTACCCGATTGTCACATGTTCCAATCTCACTGTCTTTATCAGTTACTGATTGACTGAACTTTACTCATTGAAGATAGATTGTAAGCTTATCCATTCATAAAAGAAGCTAACTCAACACTATTTTTCACCTGACTGTAACAAACTTTTCCACCAGTACTTAGGTTATAAAGGTTGAGAAGTGATAAAGTAACCATAAAAATAACCATAAAGTGTTTAGTTTATCACCTTTGCAGTCTTTGAATTATGCAAATAGGAATCGATTCCGTTGAATAAAATTCACAAGGAACAAACCGTTCGCAACCGAGTTATTGAAAAATATCGGTTTTCATAAACTATCGGCTTAAGTTGTTTTCGGTTGTATGAGATAGGTAAATTTTGTGTCTCACATCAAAGTAATTCATGAGATGTTTTGGTGTGGCTAGAACACACTATTTGTACCGACCTAATTTTCTGAATCTCAAAATATTGTTTTCCCAAAACAGTTCAAAATAACACACTTCCGATTAGATTTCCAATCGGTGAACTTTGAGTATATATTGGTGAGATAAAGTAGTCACTGAAGGCATTTCCTCATTCGGACAAATTCTAAATAAGCTATTCAACAAAGATATTTGGTCCCAAGGCAAGACCCTTACTTCCCTCCATGAAGTGTTTCATCTGGATTGAAAAAGATCAATTTCTTGTCATTTTCACACGTGAATACTTCTGTTCTTCTCACATTTGCAAAGCGCTAATAATGACAACGTTAATTCCGTACTCTCGAGTCAATTAACTTTCGGTTCAGGTCAACATGTGGTAAACAAATACGTCGACCATTATCGACCTGTTATGTGTCCGTTTCAACTAGGTCTTGTCTTAAAATGCTTACCCTTGACACTACGCCCTGACGGATGGGGTTATCGTCTTTGGACCGAACACTCGTATACGAAAATGCACAATATTTTCTGCAGTTGATGGGTCGCTAAACAATAATGATTGAATTACCATCAATCATTGAACTTATCTGTCACCTCACGAGAACCAGCAAACCACCATTACGTTGTGTTTGCCCAAAGCTGGGCCAATGAATTTCTTCAAACATTATTTGGGTACCTAATTGTTGCTACTGATCATTTGTTAGTAGTTAAGAATAAAAGCTGAATTTCCTCTCGATAGTAATAAATATCCTTCAGCGGGTTGACGTGATGAAAATCCTGGTGAATCTTAGGTGAGCATCGGCTGGACTGTTCGAAAGATATTTTTCTTGATAGATTTTAAACGTTAATGTACACGCCTGGGAAAATAAATCGAAAAGTGGTATGCACAGGGTGATTCCAAGTAAGTCCGAAAGAAAGTCCGGCTGAAGTGCGATTTTTACGGAACTTCTCGACTCCATATGTGCCTTCGATTTATAAAATATCCCAGTGGGAGGGAACCATACATCACTTCCACCCAGCCGAAAACACAAAACGGTTAGGTTTGTAGTAGATCCATTTGTTTTCCATCGTGATTCGAAGGCAGGATGTCCCACACAAATATACATCTATTCAAAGATAAAATATGTACAGGGCTCCTTTGGGTAGGTGTGATACTGTCGGAAAGCTTCGATAAAAATTAAGTGATTTTCCTTAGGATTCATTAATGAAGCTTTTGAATGATCAAATTTTTCTAGTATGTTCATTGTTGATCGTTTAAGGTGAACGTCCGACCAGCTCCGTATGCATCATTCACTAGTGCAGAGAGTAAGACAATTCTTTTCGCACGGTAGAACTAGTGACTAGGGTTTAATGCCTTTTCATACTCCTATTCTTGATATATAAATGAAATCATTTTATTCCCGAGCTCTCTAGATGATTCAGTTTTGCATTGTTCACCATCTCGATTGTAACAACGGCCATCACTCTCTCCGTTTGACGAAAACATCCTCGCGATGTTGGGTCAGTAACTGGGACTTTTCGAACAGATGCTTTAAACAAAGTCTTTCTGTCGTTGACTTTCTCGATTTCGAGTGATTTCTTGCTCATTACTGGAGGAACTGATCATCGCCTCTGAGGATCACGGTCATATTATGCAAGTTGGGACAAATTGTCAAACATGGGTAGGTAACCGTGGGAATTTGCTCAGCCATTGGTTCGATCTCACATAGGTTGATGTATCGGGTGGTTAAATTCTGCACATTGAAAACATCCAGTGAATTACTCGGTAGTTTCCAAAGCCTTTTCAGCAAGTCATTGTTCGTCTCTGTTAAAGCATGAAATCACGTCAAATTCACCCAGTAGACCGGAGAAAGCATATCAGGTGGTTGCGCAAAAAATCAAGCTTTACAATGAGCCCAGAAAGTCTAATTATGTTTGCCGTTATGTTCAATAATCTGGGTCGTACAACTAAGTGATACAAGCTTTCATTGAGTTTCTCATCAGTAAAAACCAACGACAAGCGAGCGATACACAAGTTATCCAAAGAATTTAAAAATGGCTGTCAGCAAGCTGTTTATTATAATTTAAAATAATTATTTATCCAATATAGCTTTTTTGATGACGCATCTGAGTTTAAACGACTATTTCGCTAAACCTTCATTGTATCCTGGGTTATCGATGGCCTAATTCCACAGGGACAAGTAATTTTCATCCAATTGATTCACTTCTTATCTTCATTTCTTCTTTTTCCACTTCACTCTTTTTTGAGTCAAAATAACAGTGAAGGCATGTTTCATGGAGAAGGAATCGACCAATCACGGGGTAGCCACAGAAAACGGGGCAAGCTGGCCGACGGGATTTGTAGTTGAAACACATATGCCCAGGGAATACAAGTGATCTTAATCACCTTCCAGAGTATGATCATAAGATGACCACTAAAGGTTCAAGTAAAATGCATCATATGAAGGTTCATCACAAGCATTGGGTAGTTCTTCGGCTGTTGTTGCAACTCTTCAGGAGTGAGCAAACTGATAATATCCATTCTATCAGCTTTCTAGTGACATCACATTTCCATTACATAGCTGCATATTCCAGAGTAGCCCTCGACAACATTAAGGGTGATGCTTCGAAATATTGAGGGCCTTGATTCATCGTCGCATACAGAATCATAATTTTATTCAACGGGTTTGAGAGACATAACAGGTAGACAGTCGGCTCATAGCCTGTGCAGTTTGCCTGAGATACAAATCGATTCATGGAAACATGATCGAGGCAAACATCTGCGTTTCTTTCGCCGTCCTGCATCCCTTCAGTTTGGTCTCCGCTCAGATAAAACATACAAAATTCTTTTTTTTGTTGATATCCCGGTTTGTATCGATACATGAATCAATTTCAAAATTATTACGTACTCTGGTTGGCTTTTTCCGACGTTAAACGCGAATATCAATCAAAAGGTTGTTAGAGAATAGTTATTTACAAAATACATCAACATGTAGCACGGATGGTATCAATGCCGATTTGATGCTTTAACTGGTCTGAGGTAATTATCGGGCTCTTATTATCCAAAATTCAACAATTGTACATAGAATAATGTTTCATATTGCCATTTGGAATATCACACATAGATAAACCACGCGCAAAATCGCGTGACGAGAGTGATTATTCGGGCGCGCTGCCCAAATATATATTATTATGTCCGGAAAGGGCCTTTGGGATACGTATCAGATTTATAACTAGATATTTCTAATATTTAATGATAATGATCAGATCTAAATAAGAGGGAAAGAAAGAGAAAGAGAAGGGAATGAGAAAATCGAAAGAATTCCTGATAGCAATGTCTTTAGTGCTGAGATTCAGAAGATTCGATAGCATATCTTCTTTTAGTGTGCACACTCTTTTCTTAGTCATATCGAGTTCTTAGCATCACGCAGAGATACAAGTATGGTCAGATTAGAACAGTGTAAACAAGATTTCACCTCCGAGCGATGTACGGATTTCACATTGTTTCACGATCGATCACATGTGTTCGGCAAATTGTTGAACAGCCGTCCATAATTGTCGTCCAACTGATCGAATATACGAGGCAGGAAGCAGAAACCCGTAACGACCCTCATCGCACAGCTCGATTGTGTACGCGTAGAGTACACCCAATTCACCGGCCACAAAATCATCGGATCCGCCGGCTGCTTCATCTAGAATAGAGAATGAAAAATAGAAAAGATTATCGATTGAGAAAAGAAACCATGCACTAACACTGTACCTTGTCTGTCTATTTGTCTGTCTGTCAGTTAGTCTGTCTGTCGTCTGTCTCAATCGGCTTTTATACGATGACAGTTTAAGAGACTCGATAATTTGATCGACTTAAAAAGAGAACGCCGGAACAATGGGATAGGCATTCAATCTCAGTAAATCACGACAAAAGAAGTATCAGTTGCTCGAATCACAATCTATTTACATTGGTTTAAATCATTGACTGTGTTTACCATTCTTTCAATCATTTTCTTTCTACTGACTTGATCTGACCATCCTTCAGACTTCACCTTCACGCACAATTCTCAGTTCATCGATTCCACGGTACACTCGGAAGCACTAGACTCGAGTTTTGCTCTCACAAGTAACTGTGAGCCACATGCAAAATGTTCTTTTGAGTTGAACTACAGAATTGCTCATTTTCATTTATGATGCTTCTGTTTTTATTTAAGGATATCCCCATCATCATTAACGTAAATAATAAATTGTTCTAAGAAGCATCTGCAGACATACAGGTGATCGAGTGAGCAAAACTGCGTATGGATTTCGGTCGGCGAAGCTCGCGATGCACCGTGCTTTCCCACAACCTCGAATAATGGTATGCTGAAGCTGTGAGTAGACGGAATCCAATTGGGTCACCGAAAGATTACTTCAATGTAATTTCTACGGTTCTGAAACCGACTGCCTGCCGCATCCTCACAAATAGTGGTACCAGAAACAATCGAGATACGCGTCTTTGTTTTCAATTCACTGCATAAAAGTAATTTGTCCTTACACAATTGATTCAATCGTTTGACGAGTAACCATCTCACATAAAACGAACAAATCAAACGAATTTAGCTCTGATAGAAAGAACAAAAATATGTGTCACTATTTGGGATTAAAACTGTCTTGGAAAAATAAAATAAAATAAAACCACGGATTAGTAGAAACTATTTGATCGTGAGACCGGAAATGGGGATCACCATGATCACAAATTTGTTTGTTCACTCATTCCTGCAACGAGATTACACGTGGTACGGTGTGTGTGAGGAGTGGGCCAGAGAAGCTTTAGAGCTTGCACAAATTGTTTTTGGGGACACAGAGGGGGGTTATTTAGACGAATGTCCACCGCTTCTGCTTAACCAGCATCCGACAGCTAACTCGACTCGATAATCGCCCACGAAATTTATACAGGGGTCAGAAAGTCTCGGAAACGTCCACAGTGTGATTTGTTTCGGCTAGATGTTTAACTACTACACTGGTGAGTGAATTAATCGTTCCGGTGTTCAGCCACGCATGGTGGTATTCACGAATCCCTTCGGACAATCACATGATCATACGGCCTATGTACGTTTTTCCACAGGAACAAGTAAATGAGCATACACGGAATGAGGACACAGAGTCTGGAAATTTGTCCTTTAGTCGCAAATGCAGAATTGACTTGGACTTGAACAACACTCGCAGCATGGATGCACAGAAAGTCTTATCGATTGCATCGCATAATCCTCTTCGTATGATTTCAGCTAATGTGTCCCCTTCGGACGGCGAAGAAATGTATAAAGACTTTTTCTTAACCTCGGTGTTCTGTACGGAGTTTTCCGTGCATTGAAACATCTTGTTAACTAAGCGCTCCGAATCCCAGTTACTTGCAAAGATCTGACTCTACTGGCTCTAAAGGGATCTTTAAAACAACACTGTCAAATTTTCTACGTGCACCGCGTTGGAATGTGAACCAAACATAGTAGTAGTAGTAGTAGTAGTGGTAGTGTTATATTCCGAAAAGGCGGTGCTGGTCGAGGAGAGTNACAGATGAAGGGTCACTAATTTTGGATGCATAACAGGAAAAGCTCATCAGAAACCTGCCTTCGCAGCACATCGCGACACATGGGGCAATGGATATAGCAGGCTGTGTTTATTCTTCCCAAATATATTACTTGGTCTTGGATGGTCTTGTTCTATTTTTAATCATTGAAAGT